GTGGTTTGACCACCTTCCGGGGCAGCCTGTTCTAGTTTAATTATCCTTTCAGTAGGAAGTTTCTTCTAATACCCAATCTAAACCTCCCCTTGTGCAACCTGAGGCCTTTTCCTCTTGTCCTATCACTTTTTATTAGGGAGAAGAGACCAACCTCTACCTGGCTGCAATGTCCTTTCAAGTGGTTGTAGAGAGCAACAGGGTCTCCCTGCAGTCTCCTTTTCTCCAGGCTGAACAACCCCAGTTCTGTCAGCTGTTCCTCATATGACTTGTGCTCCAGACCCTTCACCAACTTTTGTTAGTCTTCATACATCACCCTCCTCAAGTCAGCAAATCCCTTGCAGAGAGTCTTCCGTTGTCTTCTTGCCAGGTGACAGTGCTTCTCAAGCTAATCGCTACTTAGAAGTATCCACCAGCTGCACCCGCTTTCCAGTATTTCCAGTTCTTCCTTTCTTCTGATCCCAGGATCTCTCTGCAGCTTGCTTATAGGATTTACTCCAGCTGGGGTGCACCTTTACTCTTGGTATAATTTCTTGCCTTTGTAGATTGTAGTTGTGACCAGGAGGTTTAAAAATGAATAGTTAAAATGATCATGTGTTGAGCTTGTTTGTTGCATTCTGACCTCTTGCTTTACCTTGCAGAGCAAAAGCAAGATAAGGTGGCTTGCAAGGTAACTGTGGGGGCTTTCCAGCACATCAGAGAGGATGCTGCTGTTTAGCAGCTAGAGGAAGCAGTGAGGAGGGAATTTTTCTTCTCGTGCTTGGCAGGAAAAAAACCCACTAACTTCAACAAAACAAAGTTTGTCTCAAAGGACTAAATATGTGACCTTGTGCACTCCTGCACATTTACTGTATATTATCTTGACACCCTGTCTTTATTTCCTTTTCCTCCACTGCAGATGAGAAGAGCGCATTTGGTGCATATAGGCAATTTGAATTGTTTTATAAGCTTTAAAAAAAAGAGAAATAACAGATTCTTAAATTAATTCCTCAGAACTGGGGAAAGCCAAGTTCCCAAATGGGACTCAGTCTTAAATTATAAATGAGTTTTAGTGATTCATGTCCTGCAAATCTTTTATAACATGGAATGCTGCTATGTTATAAAACAGAGGGGAAAGCCTGCATTTGGATTACTAAAGAGAGATTTTTGTCTCAACTTTCGGAATTTTTTTAAGGAGGTGGAAAAATGTAGTCTATTGAAAAACAGCCAAATCCTCTCAAATAAATCTTATTAATTCTCCTTCCATTTTTTTTTTTTTTTTTAATTTTTTTTTTATTACTCAGCTAGCTTTTAAGTCAAAGACTGAAGGCTGAGGCATCAGCAAAGCTGTTCTTAAGCAAGCCTAGTTCATCTTACGTTTCTGCGTTCGTTGTCTTTACTGTCAGCTGTATTGGCAGTTTCCTTAGTTTCCCAGAAATGTGTTCTTCTGGCATGGTCTTTCAGATAGGGGATTTTTTTTGGAATCTTTCTTTTGGTAACAGTAAGATGTGTGATTTGATACATGCATTTTTATCTGGCTATAGGCATGATTTCTTGCATTTTGAAGGTTAAAATATTATCTTTGGGTAGAGACGAGTAAAATGAGTGTTCTCCACCTGCTAAGCAGAATCATTTTTCTTCTAGTTCTAGGCACATACTTACGACCTGCATTACTGCCTGATTGTATCTGGGACGATGGCTGTTCAGTATTGCCAAAAATGCAGCATGTCATCAGTCCCTACAATTTTTTGGTTGTGTGCTAAGTAATAATTTTCCTTGAGAGCTTCTACTGTTCTGTTTCTTGGTAAATTATTAGGGTGATACATTTAACTGTAGAGAAAAAACAAATAAATTGTTACTTGAGAAAATGTACTGACAAACAGATTTCTTCTATTATGTTTAACATGTATATTTTTACTGGTTTTGTGGTTTCATCTAGTATTCTCCATTTACAGTTTCTGTAAACCTTTTGTATAAGATGAGTTTTTAACCATTTCTTTTTAGGTATCTGCTGGTGGAGCGCAAAAGTAGCCATTAAAAGTGTGACCAGGCATCCTCAATTTGCAGATTTTTTTTTTAAAAAACAACAACTGGACTGTTATGACTGGCAGATCAGAATGCAGGCAGAAAGCAGGCCAGAAGGATTTTTTATTATTTTTATTTTTTAAAAAAATCAGTTTTGTTTGTTTGTTTTCAAAGCCGTTTCCAAGCACTTGACAATGAAATACATTTGGAGACAGGAAAACTCAAAAGTAGACAGAGCTTTGGAAAACTTCCATGCTTAGAGAACTGATCTGTTAAAATTGACTAAGAAAACTTTTTTTTTTTTTCCATTTAGAGTGAATCTAGCATTTGGTCAGCTATGCTTTAATAAAAGGATACACAGAACCCATTAAGCCAAGAAACACATAATAAGAAACGCAGTCAGTAGGAGAGAGACTTGCTATCTTCTGTTTTTTCCCTTTGAGAGGTTAAGTTTAAAGAGGCTGGTAATGTTTTAGTGTGTCACTTTCAGACAGCTGGTGCTGCCCTAATTTTCTCAGCTTGTCTCAGAATCTTTTAACAGTTTTTATAGCTTTATAGGTTTTGAAGAAAAGCTGTCTACAGATGCTTTCCCATGCACACATTATTGACTTGAGGTATGTTCCATCTCCTATCTATCTGATCACCAGTGGGTGCATTTTAAGCATCAAAACATCTTCAAAAATATTTTGGAAGTCCATAGTTGGTGTTGAGCTGTTTTAAATATGGACCTCCATCCATTGGCTTCAGTGATGAAGAATCAGAATCTTATTGTTTCTTTGTCAGCTTATCTGCGTAAAATGCCATTTAAAGTTGCTTCTTCCTGATGACAGTCACAAGAGTAGTTCCTCTGCACAACATAAAGCCCTGGACAGAAGTCTATGTGCTGTAGCTTCCAACAGTTACTGTGGAATCTGGCTATTAGTAGCCACTCTAATATGGGGAGTTAAATAATGAAGCTTGTCATGCCTTTGCTGTTAGTAAGGCATGAATTTGCATGTTGATACTTTCTGGATACACACACATTGTTTTCCTTATAATAGATTTATGGAAGGCTTTTTCCTTCCTTTAAAATTTCAAACGTGAGAGACCTTTTCAGGCAAGGCCTTTAAGATTATTTTGCTGTGCAAATATACTCAGACTAAGTCAGGACGTTTGCAGTCCATTTGAGGATGAGATTGAAGTTTGAAGTACTAGATAAACAGCTACGTGGCAGCTTTATACAGTAGTATCCGAGGCTGCATCACATGCTGAAATTGAGTCAACAGGGTCTGAATGTTGAGAGAAAAGCAAATAATGGCATGGGCTGTGTAAACATGTACTGTGCATAGGTTTGCCTTAGAAGTTCTTTCATTGTGCTCGATAATGCTCAGGCCTCAAGGGGCAGAAATATTTCAAAGCTGAGGATACAGCAGATTTGATCCACAGAGAAATATTTGTTCCAGGAATTATCAGAAATCTAGAAACTGAGTCTGGGAAATAGGTGAAAAAAAATCAGTTTTAAAAGGAGTAGCAAGTAGAGACCTGGTATCAGTTATCTTCTGTGTAAGAAGTTGCCACGAGGTAGAGGATAAGCTGTTCTTTGTCTGCTAGAGATAGGTCAAAGTAATTTGCTTAAAATGGAGCAAGAGTTAGTTATGTAGCATATTTGGAGCACTAATGATAGTGCCAGTGAAGTGACATGAATAGGTTGTCCAAGGATATGAGATGGTTATGGATGTGTGGTTGCTGATTTTTTAATTATTTTTTTTATATGGACATCTGTTAAAAGTAGTTTAGTTCCAGTTGCTTTTTCTGGTGGAGAGAAATCGCTGACCCTCTTCATATATATATATTATATATATATAAAAAATTATTTTTTTAAAGTAAAGACTTAAAATATAGAAACATTTAAATTTAGCAACAACTGCTCTTGTTGCATTTCAGCCAGCCCTGGTCAAAGTTTTGCCTTCGTTTGACAGCGCTGAGCTCTCTTGCCCTAAATAAGTATTTCTGCACTTGTATTGTCCTGTCCATCCTAAAAGTACATCTGCCTGGAGGATAACATGCTTTTCATATCTCTCCAGGGTCAGGAAAAACATCCGTGCCTTGTTTGAATTAATCTTGAACCAGTGGAAGGCAGCTTTCATCCAAAGAAAGTGAACTTCTTATTTTTTAATTACTTCAATTATTTTGTAACTTTAAAATTAAAACAAGCCTATAAATGGAGATATTTTCTCCTGACTAATGGCATTTAATTATGTGACATGAGGCTTCAGATTGCCAACTTTTCAGCAAGCCATAAAATGTGTACAAGAAGACAAGAGCCACAGAGTCTGTGCTTCTTACAAAAGACTGGTTTACATAACATTCATCATACGCCTCATGAAAGTACATAGGTTCTTTTCAGTGCCAGACTCTGAAACAGAAATTAAAACTGCTTGAGCAGTTTCGTATGACTCAAATTTCTTGTAATTCACTGCTATGATATTACTGATAAAACTTCTGCAGTAGGGGCACTACTCAGTAAACTATGCATTGAGAGTGTGTGTAGAAAATTGAAATATTTTCTTGAACCACACAGATGTGTAGTTGCTGAATCTGCCTCATAAACCTGGAATGACCAAACAGGTTTTGCACAATCCTGTATAGAGAATGTGTTTAGAAAATGTGGGATTTCAGTGACTTCACAAAGCACTTTTCTTTCCTTCAACTGGCACTGGTGCTTTCTCTTTGATTCTTCCTTTGGCTTCTGCTAGATGATAGGGCACTGACAACTGATTTTGATATAAAACCTGAAATTTTGGTTTGGGGCTTTTTTGAAATTCATGAATAGCCTTTGAAGACATACCTGAAATACTCACAAACTAACAGAAAGGTAGCTGGAACAAAGAGTGGCATTTGTGGAGTACCAGCTGTGGAATCTGAAGGTTGTTTTTGTTTTTTATTTTAGAACTGACCATCTTGCTGGAAGATGACTTTTATTCATGCTTGAGGTTGCTGTTCTGAAAACAAGCAGAAGAATGTGGAAGAATTCAAGCCTTCACTGCCTTATAGCACTAGCTCTTTTATGTTTGAGAAGCTTAATATGTAGCCAAGAGATAGGTGAGTTTGTTTTAATGTAATTCACTAGTTACTTTGTAGATTCTGTACTTAGACCATTTAACTAGGTTACTTTCCTATTACCTGTGTGTTCAAAAACCACCAGTTCTGTGGTCTCACACCACCCTAAGGCTGGAGATGCTACCAGGCTGGGTCTCTGCTTTCCAGCAACCAGTGGCATCTTGTAAACCAGTGCAAAATTGGGTGTTAAAATCCCCATAATGCAACTGTGATAATCTGCATATGCAGTTGGTGTAAAGGTCTGCACAGAGACCTTCTTGCTGTATATGTCTATCTGCAACAATTTCACACGTTATCATTAATTGCCCTTCTGTCATTAGGTGCCCTCCATGTGCATCAACAGAGGAGAGCAAAAAACTCTTTATCATCAAAGGTTGTGGTTTTGCCATTGGCCTAAAGCCTGCCTATTAGGCTAGGCTATGAATGGGTATTACAGGAAGAAACAGCTGCCTGTGTCATTGCACCCCAGTATAAACCCAGATTTTAGGTACTTCTAGAAATCTGGGAGTTAGTGGCTGTCTGTAATCAGACACACAAATCATTCAACAGTTTTAAAATACTGTCCAGACATGCACACAATAAAAATGTAAAAAGAAAGGCTAGAGATGTGAACAATAGCAGTAATTTTATAGTTTGTAATTTTTGACCTGCAGTTTGTGACTTTATTTCTTATATGATTTCAGGTTCTCTGGGACACCCCCAGAATCTGAAATGTGTAACACACAATTTACGTAAGATGATCTGTGCTTGGGATGTCTCTTCTAAAGGAAGACACGGACAAACCTACTTTTGCTACACTCCAAAGTAAGCCCACTGTATACCTGGTTGAAAACAACCAAATGGTGATGAAAATATTCCTCAGTTGCTGCCCATGCAATTTTGTGATGCTGTTGTTTCCCATCATCTCCCCATCAGTTTTCTTTGGGTGGTTCTCCCTCCAGGCACTGTTAACTCAGGCACTTGCAGGCTTTCTGGCAAAGTCTTATTTCATTCTGACAATTCTCCTGCCAAAATCTCCTGCATGCTATCTTCAAAGGACTGGAAGATACTCTCGTTTACTCAGACTGCTCTGTGTGTTGCCTAGCCCTTGCTCAGAGTTTTCATGAGGGACATCTTCATACCAGGTTCAATCCAAAAGGAAATTATAGTTGGAAGAAGCAAATCCTGATGTTACGGGCCAAAGCAGTAGAATATATGACATAAGTGTTGAGATTCACATGTTGAAAAATGTTAAAAGTCTCTCGATGTCTGTCTTAGAACCTTTATACATTTTAAGCTATCTGGAGAGCATTGTGTTAGAGGAAATGTGAAAATTATTCTACAATTACAATAGCTTTTCCGAAGTGAATGCAAGTTGAAAATTTTGAGAAATGGTAACAAGCTTGAATCTTCGGTGTGTTTTTCACTAATGAGAACTACATGTGCAATTCCCGATGCTGTGGGTCTGCCAAATACTTATCATGTGCTAAGGATGAGTTCAAATCCTTTTTGCATCTTGATCCTGCCCCCAGTCCAGCTATTTGTACTGTCTTTTTTTCCTGTAAATTCAGCAGGCAGCCCAGACTTGTCCTTGGGGTCCCAGGGCTTGGCTGCACTTCTTCCACCTACATGTTTGATTTTATGTGTCTAGTTATTCCTCCTGCATTGCCAGCTATCATTTCTGTACAAAACAATATATATGTGCATTGCAGCCAGAGTTCAGGAGTGCAGAGTTCATGAGGTACTGCTCTCTAAACAAGAACAGCCGAATAGCTGCTGCTGTTTCTCCATAGCAAAACAGAACAACATTGAGTCCTGAAGCAGAGAGCCTGAGGGCTGAGCTTAGTTCAGACCTTCCTGAGGCAATGGGGTTGTGTTTTTCAGTTGCCCAAACATCCTCTAATAATATCTCAATACAGAAAGGGAATAGCCTTTCTGAGCACATTAGTCTCAGCTCGCTTTCACTAGCCCAGAGTCTTGCATGAATCTTAAAAGTTCAACCCAAGCTCTTGACTCCAGTTGATCAGAGTTCCAGGGTCCTGTTCCAGTTAATAAGTGAGTAACAGTCCCTCAGCAGGAAGTCTGGCATTGTTCTCCTTGCTTTCCTTCCTCCCATCATTGCCCCAAGGGAAAGGTCTGGATTTTTCCAAACTTTTTGCCTTTCTTGTTGCCTATGAGTGATAATGAGCAAAGGGACTTGACCCATCCATTATTGTTTCCTGTATGTATCTATGACCTTCAAACAAAGGCCAGATCACATTGTGCTGAGCACTGCACAAAGATTGTGTGCAAGCTGTATTTCCATCTGCGATCTTAGCACTTCTCTCACCTGCCCTCTACTCATTCATTCCCTACGAGCTGAGCAGCAGAATGGATCTAAGTGGCTTTTTCTGTGATGGGGACACAGATGGGTGAACCTGCTCTGTGAACCCACATGCCATCACTTGGAGAAGAAATGGAGGGTGACAGGGCCAGGTGATATAAAGGGAGGGGGGAGAAACTGTAGTGTTTTGCGTAATTTTATTTTGCTTATTTTGAAATATTGATTCATGGTGACTGTAGATTTTGGAAATGTATGGTTTGGTTAAAACATCAGTTTTTTCACTTTGAAATGCTCTCTTAACGGTGAGATAGCTGCCTTATATAACTAGTGCACAGAAAATTCCTGTTCATCCGATGCTAACCAAACCCATGGAAATCTTACTCCTTCACAGACTTAATATGGAGCTCTCTTCTATAGTGCAGAGAATTTGTGTTTAATTAGTGTCCTAGGAATAGGGTTTAACTTGTCTTAGCTTCCTATCAGCTGAAATACCTGCTTAATCCTCTGTCTTTTCAGTGACTCCACTCCAGTATGTTTTAAAACCAAGGAGAAAAGGGTCGAGATTCCAGTCCCAGAGAGCTCCACCAAAATTACAATAACCATAAACAGCATTTCTGAGGCTTCTGTTGCTACTGGAGAGTTTGAAATTCACAAAAAAGACATCTGTAAGTATCAGGTTCTGTGTGAGTACATAAGGCAACTTTATACTATGTTCAACAATGCTTCAGAAGTATATACTTGCCATTTTCTTTGGAAGTGTTGTATGTAAAATGATGATGTGCTGAGTCCCTATGAATCTACCATACATAATAGGTTGTTTTCTCTCCCCCTTCTGGGGAAAGAAAAATCCTCTTATCCATAGATCTTAATAGAAGAATCAAGGGCAGAATGTGAGGAGGAAAACAAAGTACCACACTGCTACCTCCCTCTAATCACTCTTTGCCATTTTTCCCCCCCCTACTTGCAAATTAGGAAGGATTTGTAAACAACTTCCTTATCTATATACTGAAGTACCTGCACAGGGCATAAAGTACATTTGCTCAGTCTTGACTTGGGAAACAGAGAATTCATTACTACTGTCTGTTCTCCCTTTTTAAATGCTGAGCCACTACAGAATTTAAGTACTTTATTATGGCAATTCCACAACATTTTGAGGGCAGTTTTATCATTAGTCACTCCTGACAGTGTCATATTCTCTTAGTATATGCACAACTTAAAAATGTTGCTCAAATGTATATGAAACTGAGCAAGTGCATTTATGCTTTGGAGGTAGGCTGCCTTATATTGGAGTCATAGATAAATCAAAGTTTCTCCCACTTCCTTTCACGAAGGAGGAAGTTGTAAGCTGAAGATGGCATTGACACCACCTGCCACAGTTGCTTGTAATTTGGTCTTTGTTTTCTCTTTGCATGCTTATTTCTTTAGTGCAGTCAAAATCTAAAGTTGGTAGCACTTCTTATTCATGGCTCAGTTTTCAGCTGAGAGCAGCTCAAGAACTTTAACAAAAGAGATCTCAAAAATGTGGGTGAAACACTGAATTCTCCAACGTCTTGCTGACTGCAGGCATGATAGGTCTCTCAGATTCATCACAGGTTATCCCTGGTAGCCTGGTAACTGTGCAGGCTCTCAGAGCCTTGGCCAGGGCTAAAATTGGATAAATCACACACTTTAAAAACAGGATTTATCCTGCACCAGGTTCAACAAACTGCCATAATTCTTCAACTGCCATAATCCATCCTGCTTTTCAGTCTCTTGCTTCATCACCACCCATTCATAGAACAGATGTTTCTTTCTAATCTTCTCATTCTATCCCCATCATCATGTAATTCCTTTAACATTTTTTGTAGCTTGAATTTAAATTCCACACAATCCTATTCAGAGCCTTGTGAGTTTCTTCCACCCTGTGCTTCTGCTCTCCTTCCTCCCTACTTTAGATTTTGTTGCAAGTCCTCTCTTTCTTGCTGGTGTCCAAAGCTACTTCTGTCTTTAAGGGATTTTCCATCATCCTCCCTAGTTGTCTTCCCAGCTATACTTCAAAGACTGTTGCCATATTTCCTTTATCTCTGCAGCATTGAATGAAGATTGAGAAAGGTATGTCTTCCTTAATATGCATTATGAAGAGTCACATTATCACAGAATCACAGGATGGGTTTGGTTGGAAGGGACCTTAAAGATCATCTAATTCCAACCCCCCTAGGAGGAACACCTCCTGATAGACCACGTTGCGCCAAACCCCATCCAACATGGCCTTGAACACTTCCAGGGATGGATCATCCACAACTTCTCTGGGAAAACTGCCAGTGTCTCACCTCCCTCATAGTGAAGAATTTCTTCCTAATGTCTCACCTAAATCTCCCCTTTTCCAGTTTAAAGCTATTGCCCCTTGTCCTAGCCTAACATGCCCTTATAAAAAGCCCCTCCGCAGCTTTCCTGTAGCCCCTTCAGACACTGGAAGGTTGCTCTGCAGTCTTCTCTTCTCCAGGCTGAGCAACCCCAGCTCTGTCACCCTGTCTTCATAGCATAGGTGCTGCAGTCCTCTGATAATTTCCTTCATGACTCTCCTCTGGACTCCCTCCAATAGCTACCTGTCCATCTTGTGTTGGGAGCCCCAGAGCTGGACACAGTACTCCAGGTGGAGTCTGATGAGAGCAGAGTAGAGGGGGGGAAATCACCTTCCTTGACCTGCTTCCCACACTTCCTTTGATGCAGCCCAGGACACAGTGGTTTTCTGGACTGCAGGCGCACATTGCCAGCTCAGGTTGAGCTTCCCATCAACCAACATGACCAAGCCCTTTTCCTCAGGGCTTATTTTCCTTGGGTTCCTTAACCCAACCTGTATTTGTGCTTGGGTTTGCCCTGACCCAAGTTCAGGACTTTGCACTTGGCCTTGTCGAACTTAATGAGGTTGACATTGTCAACCTTCAGTGTGCCAACAACACCACACACTTTGGTGTCATCAGCAGACTTGCTGACGGTGCGCTCAATCCCACTGTCCATGTCACCAACAAAGATGTTAAATGGTCCCAATACTGACCCTTGAAGAACACCAGTTGTCACTGACCTCCATCTGGATGTCAAACTGTTGCCTGCAACTTTTTTTGAGTGCAACCATCCAGCCAATTCCCTATCTACCAAGTGGTCCAATCATCAAGTCCATGTCTTTTCAATTTAGATGTAAAGATATCCTCCAGGGTAGCGTCAAACGCTTTGCACAAGCGCACGTACATGAGGTCAGTTGCTTTTCCGTTATGCACCAGCACTGTAACCCTGTCATAGAAAGTCATTACATTTGTCAGGCAGGATTCACCCTTACTGAAGCAGTGTTGGCTGTCACCAGTCACCTCCTTATTTTCCATGTGACTTAGCATGGTTCCCAGGAGGATCTGCTCTGTGATCTTGCCAGGAACAGAGGTGAGACTGACATGCCTGCAGTTCCCTGGGTCTTAATTTTTCCCTTTTTGAAAATGAGGGTTGTTCCCCTTTTCCAGTCAGTGAGAACTTCACTACACTGCCATGACTTCTCAAATATGATGGATAGTGGCTTTGTAGCTTTTTCTGCCAGTCTCAGGACCCACTGATGCATCTCATCAGGTCCCCTGGACTTACGCACCTTCAGGTTTCCTTAGATGGTCTTGATCCTGATCTGCCCCTACCATGGGTGGTTCTTCATTCTCCAAGTTCCTGCCTTTGCCTTCTGTGACTTGGGTGATGTGGCTTGAGCTCTTGATGGGGAGGACTGAGGCACAGAAATCACTGAGTACCTCAGCCTTCTCCATATCGCAGGTAACCAAATCTCCTGTTTCCTTGTGGAGTTGGTCCACGTTTTCCCTAGTTTTTCTTTCACCATCAGCATAGTTAGCTTTTCTTGTTGCCCTTGACTTTCCACCCTCTGTAGGCTTCCTTTTTGTTTGTGTTTGTCCAGGAGTTCCTGGTTCCTGGCCTTCTGGCATTTTTGCCTGACTCCCTCTTTGTTGGGCCGCTCCTGGGCTTGGAGGAGGTGAACCCTGAATGCTGACCAGCTTCATTGGACTGCTCTTCCCTCCAGGATTTTATCCCATCATACTCTACCAATCAGGTCTCTGAAGAGGTCAAACTCCACTCTCCGTTAAGTCCAGGGTTATGTGCTTGCTGCTCGCTGCCCTAGTATCTTGAACTCCACCTTTTCGCGGTCATTGCTTATTCATGATCAGTTACTCACACATCTGCATGTTGAGATGTTAGAAGAAAATGCTACCTGGTGACTCATCAGCAACTGTGCTTTCCTAGGAACTTTCATGCTCAAGTAATGACAGAGCCCATCTTATTCTAATAACAGGTTGAGGTACATGTTTGTATGGCTATTAGCCAATTGAGAACAGAATGATGTGGCTGTTAAACACCTGTAGGGCTGTTGTTGCTGACTAATGACTTGAATATGGATTTTTTTTCCCCCTTTCTCTTTTTCAAGCATTTGTTCCTCCCACTCCACGTATTCTTAGTTTAACACCTGACTTTTCAACTTCCACTTTAAATCTGAAGTGGAATGATAATGGATCAGCCTTCCCATATGGACTGGATGCCTTTTGGCAGATTCAGATACTTCGTAAAGAACCAATGGAAAAGGTCACACAAGTAAGTCCTTTAATTCCTTTATATATAAAAAAAATATAATTTTTGCCCTTAGTAATGTTCTGGGAGATCATTTGAAGAAAGCTTACAATAATGAATGTCGAAGAGCTTTGCAGAACCTGAGTGTAGACAATTTCCTGGTAGATAACTTCTTGTTAAGTTTCAGGTTTATGAGGACACTGACTACTGGGCTGTCAGCACATGCTCCCAGTCACAGCTTTTTTTTTTTTTTTTTTTTTTT